ACCCACCCATATATCCATCCACACCCATCATCCATCCACCCACCCATATATCCATCCACCCATCATCCATCCACCCACCCACCCACCCATCCATCCATCATCCATCCACCCACCCATCCATCCATCCATCATCCATCCATCCATCATCCATCTATCCACCCACCCATATATCCATCCACCCATCATCCATCCACCCACCCATATATCAATCCATCCATCCACCCACCCATATATCCATCCACACCCATCATCCATCCACCCACCCATATATCCATCCACCCATCATCCATCCACCCACCCATCATCCATCCACCCACCCACCCACCCATCCATCCATCATCCATCCATCCATCCATCATCCATCTATCCACCCACCCATATATCCATCCACCCATCATCCATCCACCCACCCATATATCCATCCATCCATCCACCCACCCATATATCCATCCACCCATCATCCATCCACCCACCCATCATCCATCCACCCACCCATCATCCATCCATCCATTTCATTCACTCACTCCTCTTTTCATTCTCCAAACCGTGGAGGATTTTAAACATCGACAGAGAAAAAAAAGCCAAGATATGAATACAAGACATGTTATCATTTGCCGTGTTCGGTTTGGCTTTCATTTATAATGTTAAAATCTGCCAAATAATCAGTTTTTGGCCCGTTTCCCCACTTATTATCCCAGAGTTATCGTGTTGACCTCTATAGCCGCATTGATACGTTTTGTTTAGCCCAATTTTTTTTCTTCAAAACTTCCATTTATAAGTTTAGGTTTGGTGACACTGACCTGCGGAAACACAACTAGTTCACATTTAACAACAAATAATCCGGTTAAAGGGGAAGTGCATGCCATTGTGCTTCTGTCATTATCAACAGATGAGAACATGGAGGTTCATGAAGCATGACGACTGCTAAAACATCCGAGGTTCAACCACACGAGTGAAAGAGCTCTGACAGCACACAAACCAAACACATGAGAAACAAAACCACTCGTCTTTAACGGGTTACACGGTTCATGAGAGCAATGACTCATGGGAACATGTACTCAAACAGATGCGCCACTAGTCACTGGTTAACACTGACAATATTGTGAAGGTCTGTTGATTTCATCCATTTTATGGATGATGGGAAGAATGTCGTAGATGGTCCACAGTGGGAATCACGTACGCAGGAACGAGTTCAGCACGTCACCCCAGGACAGGAAACAATGGTCAGACGGCTCGACATCACTTCCTGTGGAGATGAGAGAGAGTCTCCTGATATCTGATCCTCATCTGTGAACGCTCCAAAAGGAGACTTATTTAGCAAACAAAGCTTTGTTTTGAAATGTAACTGTATAAACCGAGTTCATACTGGTGACGTGTGTGTTTGTTAAATAAGCCCTTCGTGCAGAAAACCTTCGCAAAAAATGTTTCACATAAAAGTGAAGTGATGTGCAGGTCATCACATCCCGTAAAAAGGTCTTTTTTGGCTCTGATTTGAAAAATACAGATAGAAGAGTGATGAAAAATATCACATTTTACACTCAATTGTACTGTATAAGTCAACAGAAAAACAACATCCCAAATTCTATCCATGTCCTAAATGACAGATATTAGAAAAGCACGTGGTTAAAAAAGATGAACATAATTAGAATATGTTTAACATGAAGTTTGGATTGCTAATAGACACTTCAAGAATAAAATGAAGAACTGACAGAATGCCGATGGCTTATGAACGCATCTGAAACCATTAGTTGATAAACTCTATTGTCTACAGACTTCAAACAGGCTATCCCAGCAAGAACATCTACAGGAAACCAGTCCGACGCATGAATCCTGATGATGATGATGATGATGATGAAGGGTGTGTGTCGTCAGTTGTGCGATGGGAAGACATGTATCATCACTGAATGGAGAACATGAACATCTGTGCACCTGAAACACACGACTGAGTGTGATGGAGTGACGGATCCCACACACCAGCTCTGTGTGTGTGTGTGTGTGTGTGTGTGTGTGTGTTGATGACTGCGAAAGAGGATTTTCATGGTGTTGGTCGGTGAAGTAAAGATCCAATATACACTACTAATCAAAAGTTTGGAATAATTAGGATTGTTTAATTCTTTTGAAAGAAGTCTCCTCTACTCACCAGTGCTACATTTGATCAAAAATACAGTAAAAACAGTGAAATATTATTACAGTGTAAATCAGCTGTTTTCTGTGTGAATATACAGTAAAGTGTAATTTATTCCTGTGATCAAAGCTGAATTTTCAGCATCATTACTCCAGTCTTCAGTGTCACATGATCCGTAAATCACTCTAATATGATGATCTGATGCTCAAGAAACATTTATGATTATTAGCAATGGTGAAAAGAGTTCATAAAACAGCTTTTTTAATTTTACAACCACTCAAAGCTTGGGGTGAGAATAATTACATTAAAGAAATTAAATAATCTGACACTTTTATTCATCAAGAACACATTAAACAGATCAAAAGTGACAGTACAGACATTTATAATGTTACAAAAAATTATATTTCAAATAAACGCTGCTATTTTAGAACTTTATATTCATCAAAGAATCCTGAAAATTTTTATGTAGGGAGAGCGGGGTAATGTGAGACATCGGGTAATGTGAGACACCCCCTGTATCTAGTCAACGGAACACATTTGTGGTCATGTGACCATTATGCTTTAAGGAGAGGACCTCATGGTGCTGTGATAAACATGTTTTTTTCACAAAAAAAATTTTTTTGCACATAAAAGTAAATTTTCTTGCTGTCAACTTAATCAACTGTTGTGCCAAAGCAAATTGATTCAGGTAGAAAAACTTATATCAAACATGTTGATGAACTATTAACATATAAAACCATGTGATGATGCTAGCTGAAGAGTCTCCTGAATTACTAAGAGAGATCGTTTTTTTCTAAAATGTGGCAGTGGGGTAAAGTGAGACAAATGCTGTGGGGTAAAGTGAGACATGAGGCACAAGTTAAGTTTAGTCTTAAACATATTTTAATGTAATATTACATTGCATATGTTTTATTTTTTAATGTCATAAACATTGTAGAAAAGCCATCATGCCTAGGTAATACACCAGGAAGACAACCTGGGGCAAAACACCCCTCGAGGAGATGAAGAGTGCAGCCGCTGAGGTCAAGGAAGGAAAGAAGTCTATAAGAGCAGCTGCAAGGGATAGAAATATTGACAAGCCTGACAAAATATTGACAAGATATTGAGAAGAGGAGGCCTGTTTTAAAAATGTGAAATATTGAAGCCAAAATTTTTAAAACGCAGTGCAGCTGCACAGCAGACACAGATGAACGGCTAGTGCGGTCATTGGATGTGCTGCGGCAACTGCACAAACCTATGGCGAGGCGGCTCAGACGCAAGAACCAATCAGGCTGCTTCGCGCCCGGGCGTGTCAGAGCCCTCCAGAATGGGTGTGGCCTAAGCCTTTATATTTGCCAGATCAGCCAAAGGTAGTCAGGTTAAGTCGACTGAAGCGATCCCCTGATCAAAGCCACATACACTTTGAACGTGGAGGGGGTATGACCCGCGTCCAAACGCCCTTGTAAGAAGGCGAGTATACTCGTCACTTCGCACAAATAGGGGTCCAGGCTCCGTGCAGCGCACCAGCCAGAAAATACCACCCGTTTCTGAGCGTAGAGGCGTCTAGTTGACGGCGCTCTTGCCTCAGTGATAGTTTTCAGCACCCTTTCCGGGAGACACCCGAGTATCCGTTGAGGGGCCATACATAAAGGGCCCACAAGTCGGGACAGGATGGCAGATTAATCGTTTTGCCTTCATGAGGAGGTCTCTCCTCAGCGGCACCGCAGCTGTACCAGCACGGAGAACCATAACTGAGTCTTCCAGAGAGGTGTTATTCGTAGCACTGCACACTTGCTCTCCCTGATCCGTTCGATGACCTGTGGTAACATCGTGACCGGAGGGAATTCATACAGCGGGCGGCTCGGCCAATCATGGGCAAGCATGAGAAAAATACCCTGCTCTTGAGAAAAATATTCGGCAATGAGCGTTGTCTTCTGAGGCGAAGAGGTCGACCTCTGCCTCGCCGAATATGCTCTATATTAGCTGAACCGTCTGTGGGTGAAGAGACATTGTCCCTGGATAACATATCCGCACCCTGGTTCAGGATGCCTGGCACGTGCGCCGCCCTTAGGGAGCACAGGTTGTGCTGAGCCCATAAAATTTGGTTTTTGGCCATGGCGTGCAGGTTGCTTGACCTGAGAATGTCCTGGCGATTTATTTAGGACACCACTGCCATGTTGTCCGTCCGGACCAGGATGTGGTGGCCTTTTAAGTACAGGAGAAAGGCTTTCAGCGATAGAGCGACTGCTCTCATCTCTAGACAGTTTATATGTAGGCGCTTCTCCAGGCTTGACTATAGGCCAGAGACGGGCCTGCGCTTGTAAAGGGCCCCCCAACCTAGGTTGGAGGCGTCTGTCGAGATCACTTTTCTCCTCGTTACCACACCCATACTCACTCCTGACTGATACCAGTCGTCTGCTTTCCAGGGAGCCAGGGCTCTGATAAAAAGTAAGTGGATCAGTTTACCCCCAGCTGGTTCACTTTACCCCCTTGATTTCTCTGGTCTGTCTCAGTTTACCCCTAAGCTGGGGTAAAGTGAGACACAAGACCACTTTTTAAAAAACAATCATAATTTCACTGCCCTTCGTCCTGAATACATTCTGATAATTTCCATTGCAAGGAAACATCCTGAATTAATGGGAAATGTGTAAATTTTACTGATATATCATTTTAGCTCGCTTAGAGGAGAGCAAATGTAAAAAATGTCTCACTTTACCCCACTCTCCCCCTATCACAGTTTCCACAAATATATGAAGCAGCGCAACCGTTTTCAACACTGATAATAATCAGAAATGTTTCTTGAGCAAAAAATCATCATATTAGAATAAATGGTGAGCAGAAGAGATCTTTTAAAAACCCCAAACTTCTGAGTGCCAGTGTACATGCGTGAGGTGAATCGAGTCCGAGCTCGTTGTGATGTGTGTGTGTGTGTGTTGATAACGGAGCAGGACAGCAGCAGTGTGTGACTCTCAGCATCAGTAGAAGGAGTACTGGTTCTCCACAGCTCTAGTTCTCCGCGAGCCGTCGGTGTCGTGATAGTCTTCAGTGGCACCGGTGGGATCCAGCAGTCTCTCTGCGCTGTTGCTCCGGCTGTGGAGACCTGCTCCTGCTCCTCCTCCTCCTCCTCCTCCTCCTCCTCCTGTTGAGGCCGGCTGGGCCATCGGAGACGAGGACGAGCTGGAGGACAGCGCCGGGTCTGAGGGAGCGCCGGCACCGGACAGCTGATGCGGAGACTGGCCCGGTTCTGCCCGACACACAGCAGCGTCACACCGCGGGACAGCAGCTGGGACATGAGGGGACGCCACATCTGTGCACACACACACACACACAAATAATACTTGCACAACTTCAGGAAAGTATGTTATTGGTGCATATCAAACGGTTGACAAAATGTCAGACGAAATTTAGTTACAAAATAGAGAAAACAGACGGTGACAAAAGTGTAGTTTAATGCATGCATTTAAAAAAATAATCTGAACTATATGTGAGGTGTTTGTTTGAGAAGAATTCAACTACAGTGTTGAGGGTGGTTTCGTCTGGTCTGGTGTCTGTGATCATGTGGTCACTACATGTGATTTTAAGGAGTTAAGGCAAGTAACGTCTGGCGCACAATAGTGGAAAATAGAAATTTTCACATCAAGCGATAAGGCCCATTCACACCACGGACAATAACTATAATGATAATGATAAAGTTATAGTTTTTATATAGTTTTAGAAAATTGTCCTGAATATAAAAGAATAGCAGAGAGGAATAATTGCGTTGGAATCACTTTCAGAACAATTTATTTCCAGCTGATAAATGATAAAAAACACTGACAGCCAATCAGAATCCTTCCAGCTGTAACAATCGGGAGCTTTTAAAGCGGCGGACGATAAAACTGCAACGCTTATAATAAACAGAATTATATTGCGCACTGGTGTGGACGCTGATATAGATAGAGCCAAACTGTTTACTCAGCTTTTCTCTTGGAGATGACTTCAGTTCCCTTTCGAAAGGGAACTCGCACTGCATCAATGATGCTATTGGGGAACGCCTTCCACGTGAAACAGTGTCTGAAAAACTATCCAATCATGACAATCGAATTTGACCGGCGACAGCCAATGACGTCACTACTAGTGCGACCCAGAAGTATAAAAGGGGCTCCTAGAGAACATGTCATCCTCTTCGTCTTCAGGGACTGTTTTGTCTGATTTACAATCACTTGAAACGCTTGTTTTCACTTGCCATAATTGATGTGTGTGGATCCGTGTTTTAGGTTTCTGACACCAGATGACACACACGACTTGTGCGTTTACTGTTTGGGCGAAGAGCACGCATGATCAGCTCTTGAGAGACCTGATTATGCAGAATGTGAGAGTTTTCCTCTTAGAAAACTCTGCTCTCGTCTGGCCCTCTTCCCTCTTCGGGTCCGGCTCGTGCTGAGGCACTGCGGAGACTCGGATCATGGGGTTCCCATATGCAGCTCGCTGATGAGTTTGAGAGAGGTGTTTCTCTCACACGCCCGTGAGAAGCTCACGAGGGTCATCCTCCGATCCAGCAGCAAGTGCTCTGCTGGCACCCAGCCCAAGAGAGCAGGAGATGGCTGATGAGGGTGAAGAAGAGGTACAACCTGAACCCTCACAGCCTCCCTGCCCCGCGTATGATGAGCTGTTGGATGTTATGGAGGGCACTTCAGCTGCTGTGGGAGCGCGTGAAGGAAGGAGCCGTTCGTGGCAGGCTGGATGAGCGACTCCTTTCTGGCCATAACTCCCCAGTTCCCATGAGCCTTCCAGTCCTTCATTATCTGCATACTGAGATCAAGAGGGCATGGAAGAACCCATATTCTGCACGCATCCATCGTCAGCAGCGAGCAAACTACGCTGATGTCGAGGCCATGCGTGAACATGGGTATGTGTCGATGCACCCAATCGACGAGACGTTCCTGAACTATCTCGCTGCTGGAGAGGCATCGGCACTAAAAGCTCCGGCCCTGCCTTCCAAGCCACTCAAGATGACATCTCGCTTGAATGGCAGGGCATACGCGGCAGCAGGTCAGGCTGGGGCTGCCTTACACACTATGTCAGTGTTACAGGCATACCAAGCTGACCTGCTGAAGGATTTGGATAAGGGGCAGGGTTTCTCCCCTGATGCAGTGAGCGAGCTGCGCCGCACCACAGGTCTGGCTCTTCAGGCCACCAGACAAACCGCTGCCTCGATTGGAAAGTCGATGGCTGGAATAGTGGCCGCGGAGAGACATCTGTAGCTGAACCTGGCTGACATCGGGGAGAAAGAAAAGGCTTTTCTCCTTGTGGTAAGGGGGGCGTGGTTCTCGCGGCGTCTGTAGTGAGAGACGAGTCAATGAGCTGTGCGGTGAGTAAGTAGGTCAAGTGCAGATGATGAACACCTGTGTCTGATTGCAGTGATTGGCGTGGGGAGACCGATAAAAGCCACACAGTGGGAGAATGCTGGAGAGAGAGAAGGGACTGGAACTCGTGCGAGAGCTGTTCAACTGAGAAGCTGAGACCTGATCTATATCGGCGTGAAGAGAGTTTGTATGATTCTGAGTAATAAAAACCGTACGAGTTCCAGTTTCGCCGACCCCGTCTTCTTCTTCCCACCACACTACTTTGAACCTTATTACACTCCTCAATGCCCCGGTTTCGCCATCTGAACTTTTCGGCACCTCCGTTGAGACAGTGGTAGAAAAGTTCAGAGGCGAAGGTGCGCTTGGCTGCATTTAAATCATGCATTCCGCTCCGAATCCACACCCAGACAGCCAAGGGGTCCTGGCCCTTGAGGGCGCTTGAGGGAACGTGCACAGGCGAGAACATTTTCACGTAACTTGACAACTAACTAAAAGAAGAGGGACTTGTGTTTGTGTACAGACGGTGCTGGAGCGATGCTGGGGAAAAAGAAAGCTCTTAAAGCAAGAGTCTTGCAAGTGGCACCTCACATTAATTCCACGCATTGTATTATACACAGAGAAGCTCTGGCTCAAAACACTTGACCCAGATCTTAAACCGTGTTCTTGAGACTGTGATAAAAATAGTCAACTACATAAAAGCGTGTCCACTCAATATGAGGCTGTTTGCCACAAACTGAGATCGGAGCGTGAGTGCTTGCTGTTCCACACAGAAGTCAGGTTGCTTTCACGAGGGAATGTGCTCAGCCGCCTGTTTGAGCTGCAAGACGTGCGCTTATTTCTGATGGAGGATGGGTCCCAGCTCGCTGACCACCTCACTGATCCTGACTGGTTAACAAGGCTAGCGTATTTGTCTTGCATATTTGAAAAACTGAATGGTCTTAATATGTCATTGCAAGGTGAAAACACAAGCATCATGTCACCGAATGATATAATCCATGCATTCACGAGACAACTTGAGTGCTGGACTGAGCGAGTTGAAATGGGTAGGATTGACTTGTTTACTGAGCTGTACGAATTCATGGAGGAAAATTAACTGAGTTTTAACATAGTGAAGAAGTCTATCACTACCCACCTTCAAGCCCTTCTGGAACACTTCAACAAGTATTTCCCAGAGTAAACAGCTCTAGAACAATATGAATGGATAAGATCACTGTTCACTGTAACAAGGGCTAATCATCTGACATCCAACCTGGAGGATGCATTGTTTGAACTGTCAAGCTACCAAACCTTAAAGACAGCGTTTAATTCCAAGACGCTGGCTGAGTTTTGAATTTCAGTCGAGAGGGAATTCCCACAGCTATCCAAGGCCGCTATGGATGTACTGATGCCGTTTGGCACTACCTACTTGTGCGAAAAGACTTTCTCGGCACTCGCGCACATTAAAAATAAATACAGATTGTGACTGAATGTAAAAGATGAACTCCGAGGTCCGTGGCGGTCTCCAAAATTAAACCAAGAATGGACTTGCTGTACTCCAAGCATTGTGCCCACCCATCTCATTAGGTGATGTTAATATTTAAATTAAAGTAATGAGTAAATTACTATAAAACAATATTATAGTTGTTTGACTGTCGTGTTCTTTTGTGTTGTAATTATGCTTGTTTTTGGATTAGTGCATGTGCACAGTTTCACGCAACGTTTGTATACTTTAACCACCTCCCAGGATAGTAGGGTTCGCGAGTCACTCGCACCTCATAACTGAGGCCTCCACTTACCTTGGGCTTAGTGGCTTTTTGGCTACCCACAGCTCTTATTCGGCTCATTTTAGTACTCCCTCCCATTGGGGATGGGTTTGAGTACACTCCCTTAGAGCCTAAGCACTGCAATGGGCTGACGCTGTTGATAATTGAAGTTGTAGGCATTTCCATAGGCCTCCTCGATAGTCAGGTAGCGTAAGATTGTACTCCCCTTGTTTAAAGGGTGGATAGCGCTCTAGCTGAGTACACTGTCTATTGGCAATGTAAAGTAGGAAAAGCTGGGCCCACAGTATTTCTGTGAGTACACCTATGATATCTGAAGCTAGTTCTGCTAAAAAGTATCGCTATCAAGTAGCAGGCCTTCACAGGCCTCCTTAAAGGTGGCTCCACTATGTTGTGGATTTTAGCAATATTCATCATGTTGTAGGCTCCCTTTGAGGCTCCCTGATTCTAGCCCTAGAGCCTGGTCAAATTATATATATATATATATATACACACAATTTTCTTAGGTATCCTAAGTCTGGTTAGAAGGTTGAAGGACTCTCATGAGGCCTCCCTGTTTTATCAGCCCTAGAGCTGGAGGCACTCCCCTTATCTAGGGTCCCTTGTTAGAGTCCCCAGGCTCCAAAATGTTTCATACCACTGTGTAGATCCAGGATTGAGAAGAGTTACTCCCCTCATTTACAAGGGTTATAGAGCACTATCCTGAGTTCTACTCTCCAGGATGCCCGTCTCCATGATCCGGTCTGTGAGCGATTACTGCCACTATCTGCAGTCCTCCCTATCTATCGCATGCCTCCACAGGTTAGGCAAATAATGTTAGAGACTCTTTTTAGGAAACAGACAGGTTGTTGGCAAGACTAGGTCAGTAGACTTGATCAGGTCAGCCTCCCTGGTGGCATGTGACTATGTCCCCCTCAGAAAGTGACTGGACAGGACTCCTTCAGATGCCCTGGCCATATTCCCATAAAGGAACCCCTTCCATGGAAGCTGTTGGTTCAAGCCCTTAAGCGACCTTGGTAGGCTTTTCCGTGTTTGGAGGCCTCTTTAACACTTATAGCTTGGGCAGTGACCAGGAATAATGTCACTGACAGCCTGTATGTGACCCGAAGGGAGAGTGTGTTCTTGGCAGTTCAGGTTGAAACTGACAGTTCTGACGTTTTTGTCATGAGCCATAATTGGCATGCACTCCACTCAGCATGGTGGGATTGTACTTTGTTCCCCAATACCGTCATCGACGCAGTGCGAGTTCCCTTTCGAAAGGGAACATCTAGGTTACGACTGTAACCTCTGTTCCCTGAGAACAGAGAACGAGACACTGCGACGTTAGCCATAATGAAGTTCAATGCAAAGGACTACAACAAACGGCTGGTACGGATTACAACGAGCTTCTTCCCGGGTTGATGACATCACAAAACCTCAAATGTACATAAACCCTGCCCTCTGGAACCAAGGGGGTGAGGCTGATGTTGATGTTGGAAAAAGTCTGTCCTAAAGGCCTGTACACACCGGGACGAATATCGGCTCGCGTTATTCGTCAGCGTTTTTCAACGCGTTTTTTGTGTTCACACCCAAGCGATTTTCGCTGACGATGAGCCGAGTGAACACGCAAATTCATTCCCTGACATTAGATGGCGCTTAATGTAAAACAGAAATACCCCGGTCCACAAAGTGGCGCTGCGCAACTACGCTTCTGACACTCGCTTGTCACTCAGAAGAAGAGAGCAAGTTTGTCGCGTTTGTCATATAGTTCTTTATTGTCGTTGGTGTCTCTTTATAAAGACACCAACAAGACCAGCAGCTCTACATTCATCTAGCCTTGCATCTTCCTCGTCTTATTTCTTCCCGGCAGAGTATAGACGCTGTATATCTTCTTCGCCATTACGTATGTGTGCTCAGCAAGACCGTTTTGTGTTTGAGCGCCCCCAAGTTGTGTTTTACTGTAACTTCAGAAGCTCCAGACACGTGAGCAAAAGCGCCAATCTCATTGGTCGGATAGTTTTTGACGTGGCGCGTCAAACCAAAAAAACGAACCCGAGGCGTTTTTAAAAAAATGACGCTTTTACGCGTGGCGTTTTACGCGTTGGTGTGAACACTCACATTGGCGCCCTTTGTTTAGTCACGAGGCGTTAAACGTCGGCGAATAACGCGCGCGAAATTCGTCCCGGTGTGAACAGGCCTTAAGGCTGAAGAATTTAAGAGAGGTCAAAATGTATTTTTAACACTGCTCCTGAACATTATAACCTTAACGATTGTCTTTGAGCTGCACATTTTATGGAGAACAGTTTCCAGAAGAGAGTGCAGGCTAAACACACAAAAGCTTATCCTGAAATATGTAGCCACTCCCATTTTGTTGGGACAATCTGTTGTTCATAGATCACAACTTGTAGGTATGTCTTATTATTTGTTGTTGTGTTTTCTATTAACAGTTCCAATTATAAGCATTATTTAGTTGCTATGATGTAAAGCTTTGCCTCCGCTAGCCTGCTAACTAACATTACAGTATTGATGTAGTGTTTACTGTAGCTTTTGTAAGCTCTTGCTTTTGTAAGACTGTTTACTGCCCCTTAGGAAAATTATCCATGATTTTGTGATCAATTACTGTTTGTATTACCATCGTTTTCCGACAAATATAATTAAATGGTCGATATTATCGTATCTATAAGAAAATTACAAAAAAAAACATACCACTCTGAAACGTCCTGTGAAATCTGAACATCTGCTTAAAATCCGTTCAGCACAATCCTCTTGTTCGTAACATTGTCAGGGTCTGAATCGGGCTTGAAATTGTTTGAAATTGCCGCGATCATTAATATTTACATCTGAGTAGAGCTCGCGTTTATGAAGGGAAGTGACATTTCCCGAACACGCGCTAAGTTCACAAAATCCTGGGCCAGCTAACCAATCGCAGCACATTTCGTATTTCAGAAAGAGGGGCTTCATCGAAAACAGCACGTTCAACCAGACTGGGGAGAGAGGAGCTGTAATAATGTAAAAATGTGTGAAAATGAATTAATTTTTTTAACAATCAAGCATGAAAACATATTCTAGTACACCCTAAAAACAAAATCAAGACTCCATAAAAGGTCATACTAGGACCCCTTTAAAACAGGAAGGATTCTAATTGGCTGTCAATGTTTGTATTGTTCATCAGCTGAAAATAAATCTTTTTGAAAGTCATTCCAATGATATTGTTTCTATGTGATATTATCGTTACAGTTGTGGTGTGCTATTCTTTTATATTCAGAACGATTTTTAGAACTATACACTCACCTAAAGGATTATTAGGAACACCTGTTCAATTTCTCATTAATGCAATTATCTAATCAACCAATCACATGGCAGTTGCTTCAATGCATTTAGGGCTGTGGTCCTGGTCAAGACAATCTCCTGAACTCCAAACTGAATGTCAGAATGGGAAAGAAAGGTGATTTAAGCAATTTTGAGCGTGGCATGGTTGTTGGTGCCAGACGGGCCGGTCTGAGTATTTCACAATCTGCTCAGTTACTGGGATTTTCACGCACAACCATTTCTAGGGTTTACAAAGAATGGTGTGAAAAGGGAAAAACATCCAGTATGCGGCAGTCCTGTGGGCGAAAATGCCTTGTTGATGCTAGAGGTCAGAGGAGAATGGGCCGACTGATTCAAGCTGATAGAAGAGCAACTTTGACTGAAATAACCACTCGTTACAACCGAGGTATGCAGCAAAGCCACAACACGCACAACCTTGAGGCGGATGGGCTACAACAGCAGAAGACCCCACCGGGTACCACTCATCTCCACTACAAATAGGAAAAAGAGGCTACAATTTGCAAGAGCTCACCAAAATTGGACAGTTGAAGACTGGAAAAATGTTGCCTGGTCTGATGAGTCTCGATTTCTGTTGAGACGTTCAGATGATAGAGTCAGAATTTGGCGTAAACAGAATGAGAACATGGATCCATCATGCCTTGTTACCACTGTGCAGGCTGGTGGTGGTGGTGTAATGGTGTGGGGGATGTTTTCTTGGCACACTTTAGGCCCCTTAGTGCCAATTGGGCATCGTTTAAATGCCACGGCCTACCTGAGCATTGTTTCTGACCATGTCCATCCCTTTATGGCCACCATGTACCCATCCTCTGATGGCTACTTCCAGCAGGCTAATGCACCATGTCACAAAGCTTGAATCATTTCAAATTGGTTTCTTGAACATGACAATGAGTTCACTGTACTAAAATGGCCCCCACAGTCACCAGATCTCAACCCAATAGAGCATCTTTGGGATGTGATGGAACGGGAGCTTCGTGCCCTGGATGTGCATCCCACAAATCTCCATCAACTGCAAGATGCTATCCTATCAATAAGGGCCAACATTTCTAAAGAATGCTTTCAGCACCTTGTTGAATCAATGCCACGTAGAATTAAGGCAGTTCTGAAGGCGAAAGGGGGTCAAACACAGTATTAGTATGGTGTTCCTAATAATCCTTTAGGTGAGTGTATGTTTCTCATTAGAGTTATTGTCCTTGGTGTGACCGGGCCTTAAGTGGATGGTTTTTGACCAGAAATTACTTGTCTGGCCTTAAAAATGCATAATACCAGTACAGAATTTATTAATTTTTTTTTTTGAATTTTTAAGTTTGACTATGAGAGACTCATCATGGTCAGCTTGAGCAATAGTGCTGGTGATCACCGAACAGAGCCGTGACGGACAGACAGTAATCTACTCCTGCCGTTCGTTCAGGTGTTTGCTTCCCGGTCACGTGTCAGTGTGTTGTGTGTGTTGTACTGGTCATACACACCTGTGGGCGAGGGCTGCACCTGCACGTACGAGCGCAGCGTGATGTCGGTGGAGCCGCCCGACTCCAGAGGGATGGGGTGCGCGTGGAAGTGCCGAAGCATGTCGGACACCGTCTGGAACCACAGGTGATGCACGTGACACTGGCCGCTGTCGTTCACAGACAACCGCAGGTGCTGCCAAACACACACACACACACACACATACATCAACTCAACAACAGGCTTCACAATCCTCAACATCACCACCTCAACACCTCTCAGCCCCGATCCGGGCCACATCTGGCACATGTGGATTCAACACGCACGTGGGCCGGATCTGGCCCGAGACTATGTTGCTGTCTGGATTCACAATCCTCAATACATCACCAATAAATAACTTCAAGTAATTAACAAAATCAATCATTGATAACAGATTATACTTGTCCTATAAGTATATCGAACCTTCCCGGATACATACACCACATAAAGCAATACATACACTACCAGCCGAAGTTTTGAAGCGCTACGACGTTTTATGTTTTTAAAAGAACTCTCTTCTGCTCACCAAGGCTGCATTTATTTGATTACTAAAAAAAAGAAGTAATATTGTTGAATATTATTACTATTTAAAATAACTATTTTCTATTTTAATATATTTTAAAATATAATTTATTCCTGTGATCAAAAGCTGAATCAGCATCATTACTCCAGTCTTCAGTGTCACATGACCCTTTAGAAATCACTCTAATATGATGATCAAGAAACATTTATGCTTATTATCAGTGTTGAAAACAGTCGTGTACAATTTTTTTTCAGGATTCTTTGATGAATAGAAAGTTCAATAGAACAGCATTTATTTAAAATTGAATCTTTTGTAACATTATAAATGTCTTTACTGTAACTTCTGTTCAATTTAATACATCCTTGATGAATAAAAGTGTTGATTTATTTTATTTATTTCCCCCAAAAAATAAAAATACAATTCTTACTGACCCCAAACTTTTGAACAGTAGTTTTATGTTACAAAAGCTTCTATTTCTGATAAATGCTGTTCTTTTGAACTTTCTATTCATCAAAGAATCCTGAAATAAAAATGTAAATAACATTGATAATAATCATAAATGTTTCTTGAGCATCAAATAGTTTCCACAAAAATATTAAGCAGCAAAAACTGTTTTTAATATTAATAATAAGAACCATTATTAATAACCGAGTAATAATAATTGATCATCAGATCATCATATTAGAATAATTTTTGAAGGATCATGTGACCCTGAAGACTGGAGTAATGATGGTGAAAATTCAGCTTTGAACACAGGAATATTTTACACTTTACTATATATTCACAAAGAAAACACCTGATTTTAAACTGTCATAATATTTCACAATATTAATGGGGTTTTTTTGTTGTATTTTTAATCAAATAAATGCAGCCTTGGTGAGCAGAAGAGACTTCTTTTAAAAACAGTAAAATTCAAAACTTTTGACTGGTAGTGTACACTGTATAGCAAAACTCAACTGCTCGATTGTTTACATTGTAGCAAAATGTAACTATATAATCATCCAGCTCTAATCAGCTAAATATGACTATAAGGCATGAAGGTATTAAACATTAACATTATGATTTCCTGTAAAGCTGCTTTGAAACAATGTGTATTGTGCTATACAGATCTGAAAGTTTGTTTATCGGCTTAGAGGACAAACACACTTCAGCTGGTTTAAAGCGTTAGTTCCCCCATAAGTGGTGTGTGTGTGTGTGTGTGTGTGTGTGACTGTGTCCGTCCTCATTCACGGTCACTGTATGGAAAAGAGCAGCATGAACATTCTGCTAAACATCTGCTTTTGTGTTCCATTGAAGAAAAGAAGTCACATCGGTTTGAAATGGCATGAGTTTGAGTAAATGATGACACCAATAATGGGTGATTAACAATTTAAAGTTCATTCCCAGCTATCCTCAAATGATCTTCAAAGCCACAGAAACCAGCTCATAATGACTGTCCTTTCATTCAGACATGGAGGACGATACTCTGGCACTTCTCTCACACTCAGAACATACGGTAACTCAGAAACAGCAGAGCAGATTCATGCAGGCACCGTCTGAAGAACACTATGTTTCAGTGAGGGGTCAGGGGTCAGGGGTCAGGACCCCATGAAGGCTCACCTTGGCTTTGCCCTGGAAGTTAAAGGTGAGGACGTATTCTCCGGGACGCGTCTCGCTCTGGCGGATCACGAACAGCCCGTGACTGTGCGCTCCACCGGCGAGAACGAGCTGGGCCGCCCGCACCCGCGACAGGGTCCCGTGGAACCATGGGTAACCCGCCAAACTGGCGTCTCCTTCCACGTCCCTCGGCGTTTCACCTGGACTTCCTAAATGACAGAAGCAATGGGAGTGTGTGTTTACACTGTAGCGCTGCCAAGTGTTTGCAGAACTTAGAAAAAGTGGCTCTAGCTGGGTAAATCAGACCCAAACCTGCTGGTCTTAAAGGTGCAGTAAGTGATTTCTGAGAAACGCTGTTGAAAGTGGATTGGACTGAGCACCACAACACACTTGTACCCAATCAGCAGAAGGGGGCGTGTCACTCATGATGGGGGAGGAGAGAGAGTGAGCCAATCAGCAGAAGGGGGCGTGCCACTCATGATGGGGGAGGAGAGAGAGTAAGCCAATCAGCAGAAGGGGGCGTGCCACTCATGATGGGGGAGGAGAGAGAGTAAGCCAATCAGCAGAAGGGGGCGTGTCCACTCATGATGGGGGAGGAGAGAGAGTGGGCCAATCAGCAGAAGGGGGCGTGTCACTCATGATGGGGGAGGAAAGAGAGTAAGCCAATCAGCAGAAGGGGGCGTGTCCACTCATGATGGGGGAGGAGAGAGAGTGGGCCAATTAGCAGAAGAGGGTGTGTCACTCGTGATGGGGGAGGAGAGAGAGTGAGCCAATTAGCAGAAGAGGGTGTGTCACTCATGATGGGGGAGGAGAGAGAGTAAGCCAATCAGCAGAAGGGGGCGTGTCACTCATGATGGGGGAGGAGAGAGAGTAAGCCAATCAGCAGAAGGGGGCGTGTCCACTCATGATGGGGGAGGAGAGAGAGTGAGCCAATCAGCAGAAGGGGCCTGTCCACTCATGATGGGGCAGGAGAGAGAGTGGGCCAATTAGCAGAAGAGGGCGTGTCACTCGTGATGGGGGAGGAGAGAGAGTGAGCCAATCAGCAGTAGGGGGTGTGTCACTCATGATGGGGGAGGAGATAGAGTGAGCCAATCAGCAGAAGGGGGTGTGTCACTCATGTTGGGGAGGAGAGAGAGTAAGCTAATCAGCAGAAGGGGGCGTGCCCACTCATGATGGGGGAGGAGAGAGAGTGGGCCAATTAGCAGAAGAGGGTGTGTCACTCGTGATGGGGGAGGAGAGAGAGTGAGCCAATCAGCAGTAAGGGGCGTGCCCACTCATGATGGGGGAGGAGAGAGAGTGGGCCAATTAGCAGAAGAGGGTGTGTCACTCGTGATGGGGGAGGAGAGAGAGTGAGCCAATCAGCAGTAGGGGGTGTGTCCACTCATGATGGGGGAGGAGAGAGAGTGAGCCAATCAGCAGAAGGGGGTGTGTCACTCATGATGGGGGAGGAGAGAGAGTGAGCCAATCAGCAGTAGGGGGCGTGTCCACTCATGATGGGGGAGGAGAGAGTGAGCCAATCAGGAGTAGGGGGCGTGTCCACTCATGATGGGGGAGGAGAGAGAGTGAGCCAATCAGCAGTAGGGGGTGTGTCACTCATGATGGGGGAGGAGAGAGAGTGAGCCAATCAGCAGAAGGGGGTGTGTCACTCATGATGGGGGAGGAGAGAGAGTGAGCCAATCAGCAGTAGGGGGCGTGTCCACTCATGATGGGGGAGGAGAGAGTGAGCCAATCAGGAGTAGGGGGCGTGTCCACTCATGATGGGGGAGGAGAGAGAGTGAGCCAATCAGCAGTAGGGGGCGTGTCCACTCATGATGGGGGAGGAGAGAGTGAGCCAAGTGAGTCAAATGTTTTTTTTTAAACACATACTGCCCCTTTAAACCAGGAACCACTAATTCAGATATTCAAAAGCTATATTTGCATGTGGTTACACATTTCTGACATTTCACCCCTCTACTCGCTCGCAGACTGTGTGAACTGCTCTCTAACTCGTAGGCCCTGTGTTTGCAGTTACCTTTGCCTCAGTAAACAGTGTGAAGTCAGTATTTCTGTTAAAGAATCCTTTGAGAAACATCTAAAAAATCCTCATGAATTTTAACAAGTTAAAATTGAATCACTGAATCAAACCACTGTTCAGTGGACTCGACTGGTTGGCACTGTTGCCTTGTCCAAATACCCACACTTGCGGTCTTGGCCACTAGAGAGTGTGTGCAAGACTGTCCTGTCTTAAAAATGCCAAAGTGCCCTTAATGCACACTGAATACACACTTCGGAGCGGTATTCAAAGCTAAGCGTATCCCATCATGCATTATGTTCGGGAACTCATGTGCCCTGGAATCGCGAGATGACGAGGAAAACATTCCACTGTAATTTAAATTAATTAGATGCATATAATTTGGTAGTAAAACAAAGGGTTGCACATTTTATTGGTGCAAAGATGAGTATGGTGTGTGTATGCCTATTCTGTACAACATTTGCAACTGTTATCACTTAATTAGAAGCACCACGATTTTAAATTTGTGTCTTCTGTTAGTTAGCGACATAGCGACTACTAAACAGACATGTAGAGGTTTATTCTAAAATGCAAAGTATTGAAAGTATAATAAATAAAATATCTACACACACTTGCAGTCTTTACGCCTTCTTGAACACTTGGGAAAAAAGGAAATACGTCATGCAAGTGGTGAAGTGTAAAGACCGCAAGTGGGTTTTTTGGACAAGGCGTGTGTGTACCTGAAGGTGTGTCCTCTGGCGACTGCAGGAACCGCTCTAACGGCACATGTGAGGGATGCTGGGTAACGGGCGGCTCCTGGCAGTGCTGATCCGCAGCAATAGAGCACAGCCGCTCAGACCCCCGATGAGAACCTGAACAACACATCCAGAACATCAACACAATCCTCCTGTCTTCCGCTTAAAGCTGCACTGTGTAATGTTTAGCGGCATCTAGTGGTGAGGTTACGAATTGCACCCAACAGAAGTTACGGTGGCCGACAGGAAGTGATGTCGTCGTCTGAGACGGCAGAGAGGAGCCAGTTAAACAATGAGGTTTCTTTACAAAGATACATTAAGAAATTAGGTTTACTTAATTATTCAGTAAAACGATGTTATTGCGAATATTATTGTGACTTGTTCATCATTGTGTCAGTGTTATATTCGCTTCTTTGCACGAAGAACAACATAGTGACAAAACGCGTTTGTCCGTTCAGGGCCACCGCAGAAACATGTGGATGTACGGGGACCCGCGGTGTGTGTAGAGAGAAACGCCTCATTCTGAGGTAATAAACACACAACGGTTCATTAAGTAAAGTCTTTATACACCACTGAAAACATAGTTATGTGTATGATATTACATTTCTGTCAACATATCCTCCTAAATATTACACAATGCACGTTTAAGAAAGAGCAACAGAGCGGGCACTGTGTGCGAGCTCATCAGACAGATGTAAACACTGCTGAGCAGTCGTACCGTCACACAGCCGCTCGCAGCTGCAGGAGGACACCAGCGTCAAGTCTCGGGGCGGCTGGACGAGAGCGCACGACGCCAGCTCGATGTCATCGCCACTGTCCCTGACACACACACACACAGTGTTTCTTCTCTTAAAACATTCATCTGATGTCCTGGAATCAAGAGTTGTCTCTATGCAAGCAGTGTTTTTGCTATTTTTAACACATTAATGATGCAAAGGGAAAACGGTAACACTTTACAATAAGGTTCATTAGTTAACATTAGTTAACTACCTTGGTCAACATGAACTAAGAATGAACAATACTTATAACTTTGTCATTTCTTTTGCTCCCTATGTTGAAAGTAGAAGTGAACATTTTAATTGTTTTAGTTATGATTATATTATTAATCTTGAAAAAATTCAAACTAGTGAAATGTTTAAAAGGATGCGTCTCCCGTTTCTGTACACAAATCAGTTAAAAAGAGCTTGTGTACAGTGCAAAACAAAAACATTTAGAGATATGAAAATCAAGAAAAATGCCTAATAAAAGCATAATCATAAGCAGTTTGTTCAAAAACAGGGGTTATGGGAAGAGTGAGACAGTTAATATCAACTTGATAGTGAAAATTCAAAATTATACGTTTTTAAAGACATTCATACTCCTATGGGAAGTCACATGTGTCGAAATCCAGCTGTCACTGACTCGGTGCACATAGTAAAAGATACGTCACTGCAGTCAGGATGATGAAATACTGTAGTCAATAGTGATTTAGTGATCAACAATTGCTGAAAGGGAATTAAATGAACCAAAGTCAGTGGCCAAGTGCCCAACTATAATAATATGTTTAATTTATATAGCGCTTTTCCCAAACTATAGGGCTTCAACAACCTTTGTACATGTTCCATATGACAGAAATAAAGCCAAACTGGTTTGTAATTAGTGAATATGGTAATGCTGTTTTTGGAGTTGTTTAATAATCCTCTGGTGAGATATTGATTTTATTTGCAGTTGATGTCATATAAGGCTGTGTGGCTGTGAGTCAGAAGTAGTTGTTGTGTTTCTGTCTCTTCTCTTTTATCCTGTTCTTCCTGTTCCTCTAATCCTCTGTGATTCTGCTTGTTAACAGCAGGTGTTCATCACTAATGTTCAATCATCACTTATTTCACTAACTGCAACACTCATTCATTGCTTACTTTACTCTATATCCATTGGGACCATATGAAAACTGAGCCGTGTTTGTTTAACACTGAGGATGTTGCTGTGTACCAGTAAACATGTAACCATGTTTTTCTTTTGAACTCTTATCAGAGGAAGCATTGCGGCTTTGGTTTAGTGTTAAAGAAATGCTGCATAAGATTTAAAGAATTGTCATGGCCAGTCAGTGTGCCTCTTGTTTTAGTTTGTGATTGCGCCCCGTGATTCAGATGTACTGTGTAAATGTTCCCCATGTGAAAGTAAAGGTGTGTGAGGTTTACCCGGGGTCTATGCAGTCCTGGATGTCTGCGACCCACGAGTTCTTCTGCAGGGAGTCGATGGTCTCCAGAATGTACTCGGCACCATTTTCTACCTGCAACCCACAAGACAACACCACAGTTTGATCTGACAACACTGATCTAGATCCAGGAGGCAACATTCTTGCATTTCCCAGAGAACAGCTGCATATGTGATGTGTGTATGAGAGTATGAGATGACGGTACCTTGAGCACAAACGTGTTGTCTTTGTCGGGCATCTCCAGGGGCATGGTGGTCCTCACCTCCACGATAGCAGACAGAGGGACGCTCACTTTGGGTTTAGACGACTACAGACACACACATCAACACAATCAATGCCATTCCCACACACACACAGCCAATTAGGGCTGTCACTAATGATTACTTTGGTAATCAAGTAATCGGTCGATTATTTTTGACGATTAACCGAGTAATCAGATTTTTTGGGGTAATAAAAATAAACCTAAGCAAAGACCTTTATTTGTCTCATTGTTATTATGTACATTAAGTCATTTTAAAGTATCAAAAGCAAGTAATCACATGGTTTTATAAAACAACACTTAAAATACATAATATACTTTATATACGTAAATAAATCATCTTACATTATGTATTATAACAAAAGCCTGTAGAGGTGTTGTTACACTTCACAGCAGATCAAATCCTTGGTTAATATTAGCCAAACGACATTTAATTCAAATGTTCACTCGATCTTTAATATTTGGCCACTTCTAGGAACTACAGCCACTGGAATTTCCTGAACACAAACATGTTTTGATGTCCACATGTAAACTCAGAGCGAGGGTTTAAACGTTTATTTTGAAAGCGCGATGAAACATATTGATGTATTCACATAATAAAGATTATTGCAAAAAATATTTTTTTAAAAACGAACAAAACACAGCAGGCATGTCAACTGGCCTGAAACGGGACATGCGTACTGTGAGCCCTGTATCTGCTGTCACTTCTAGTGTTCACATCTGCTGGTTTCAGTGATTATACGACGAGGTCTCATGGAAGGAAAAGAGTGTGGTTTTGAAAGCACTGAACTGGTGAAACTGGTGCTGAGCATGATCTACACTGCCTGAAAACACAACAATAGTCAAACTGATTCTCTCCGGATGGGCTTCTGTATCTGACAAACCTCTGACTGTGGAGGCGATCTCACTGACAGTCGTGATACGCTACACTGTAGGCATTTATGAGGACAGACAGGAGCTTGACTCAGCTCAAACACAGACATACACAGCATTATAGTTAGCAAGGATACTCACTCACCCTCTATTTTTACCCTATCTTTAGTTTGTTCAGGAAGAGGAAGTTATTAGTACCGTCTTGAGGGACTGAAATTGCTCTGAGACCAGCTTCCCAAAATGTGGGAATAGGATTTTAAGAGGCCGGATCAAGGGAGGCTCTGACTCATTTTAATGAAGAAAACATTTCTATTAACATATGTGTGGTTCATCTGTTCATTCATGAAGCCATCTTACGCCTGATAGCACGATGAAGTTAGAAGAATAAACTCAACTATTAATGAGCCACAGCAATTGTCCAAATGCCAAGCAGAATCAAACGCCTCTTCAAATACTGAAGAGTTACCTGACGAATATCACCATCTCAGCCACTGGAAAAGCACTTGCTAGCATTACTCTACTTCTGGCAGTAAGAGCACACAAGTGTTTGCCAACCGTTCTTTTGAAGAAAAACTGCTCACTAGAGTTGAAGCCCATCAAATCTTTGAATGATATTAAAACAAACACAAAGTTAATTAATTATTTTCACACCAGTCTACCCTGTCAGATAATCCCACAGCTGAACACCACCATAAGAGCAGTCTTTACCTGGCAAAGTGGACGGTTTAGCCAAAGCTACACGAGAATAGCCTAAAACTAGCCAGTCCCTAAACCTTAACCCAGTGCTGCTCACAGTTATTGGATGATGCTGAAATTGCTCAGACATCAGCTTCCAAAAATCTCTGTTTTTATTGGCTTTTCAAAGTTTTTTACATCCGTTGACATCTGTAAGGATCAGCTCACCCTGCTGAACACCTGTTTGTGCCCTGCCGTCTGGCAGATGCTGTTCCATCCAATCACGGACAACCAGACTGACGATCATCTTTCATCTTCAAGCCAGACTACTGAACAGCCCACAGTTCTTCATCTAACACCGCGACACTTCACACACTCAGACACTACTTTCAGCATTTACCATTTACTATATAGTTCAACTATTTTGGTTGTATTGTTCTGATGATTTAATAGCACGCTACTTTTACTTTAGCTGCATTTCCATTACGTATTTTCTAAATGTCGATAAAAAACGATTGCGAAATGACAGCGTTTCCATTAATCTATGTTATGCGACTAAAACGTAATTTTTCTCTCTCGCAATAAGTACTTCCAAAAGTCATGGTGACGGATGTTGGTAGGTTTATGTATATCACAGCCGCCGCACTGGCCATTAGTGTTAATAGAAGGAGACGTGTGTGTGTTATCCAAGCATTAATGGCAAGGAAAGACCTTTATACTGAGAGCGGCACATATGAGGAGTTTCTCCACTTGATAAATTGTGGCATTTCTTTGTTGTTTAGAATCCAGTATTCCTGTAATACTTTTGTCTTTTATGAGTTTAATGAAGAACTCGCTCTCGTCTTCTGTCCAAACACAGCTCGCCTTCTTTAAAGAGTGATCGACTGTTACGTACGTCAGGTGACTGTAAATGCGGAAAAAGGTTTCCATTGCAGTCTTGCGAAATATTCCTTTATCGAATTGCCTGAAAAACCACTTCAATGCGAGCGTGTAAACTTTGTGATAAATGGGAGTTTTTGCGAAATTGTCGTGTTTTCATTGGGCGTATTTTCACTTCACAATTTTAATTTGAGCAATTTGAAGGGTAATGGAAACAAGGCATATGCCATTGCCCACTACTGTTTTTTTTTTCAGCTGTTATCTTATCTCAACTGTTCTCATCTAAATTTTTGATTGTTCAAGTCTAATACGGACCTGTACCTTCATTGTCTGAATCTGAGCCTCGTCACAAGCTCTTCGATGGCCAGTGTACCCAGTGCCAGTGACAAATAAGTGACTCACTCAATGTTCACTTTGCCCATGCAAATAACAGATTAAGATATATCCCAGACAGCAAACACAGTGTCGGCCCGATTCCGGCAATCCACGTGTACCAGAAGTGGGCCGAATCTGGGCCGACACTATGGGGATGCTATAAGAATGATCTGGTTATTCTTCCCCCAATCCATACACTTGCTTACTAATGTCACACACACACACACACACACATCAGGGCTTTATCAGAGAGCTCTTGTACCTTTGGTGGAACGTAGAACTCAAGCTGGAACTTCTCTCCCGTGTCCAGGTAGGCGCCGGCCGTCTTCCTCAGCAGTAACCGGCACTTCTGCCACTGTCCCGCCCCCATGCAGTGAGTGTCATCGGCCACCATGTACCTGAGCGCGCCCTCCCTCTGGATCTCCAGCAGCTCCACCCGGTGGCCCTGAGAGGCCCGCGGCAGCCGTAGCTTCTGGCTCCAGTGCTCGGAACCCATGGCCTCGGCTCCGTTGGTCCTCCGGGAGCCCCCCGAGGGGTCTGGTTCTGGGGAGGCCCTGCGGTGCCAGATCTCCTTCACCCCGTCCACCATGCTCAGACTCATGTTGCGCAGGGAGAAGCCCTTCTTGAAGCGCGCCTTGCGACGCCCCAGCGACACGTCTTCCGAACTTCTGGACTGGCTCACGGATGGCGTCTTACGGGTTGGCGTTTGCTGCTCCTGTCCGCTGGCTCCGCCTCCTCCGCTGTCCATGCTATCCAGCGACTCGCTCGACGCCCCCACGTCTTTGCGGCGCTGGTACAGGTTGTGGCCGAAGGGTAACGTGCAACTCTGTATGCCCACAAAGGGCACGATGCTGTACTGAGGAGCAGAAGAGTCTCCCGGAGAGCCGAGTCCTTGCACCTGCTCGAGGGCCGCAGAGAAGCAGGTCAAGAAGTGTTGCGCAAAGTGTTGCGAAAAGCTGGCGTCAGCACCAGGCGAGTCGTAGCTTGGGTTCTCGCTGATGAAACGCCGGAACTTGTGGGCGAAATCTGCAGCGGATGCTCGAGAGTGAAGCTCACAGAACTCCTTCCAGTCGGGCCGCGTGCAGGAGTTATGCTCCGGGCTGCTGGGAGCCCCGGCGCCGTTCATTACTAGGCCATGCCAATGCCCCGGCAAACCACTGGCACACAGACACAGACACAGACAGAGAGACAGGTCAGTAAACCAGAGAGTGTGACGGCCTGTCAGGTGTCTGAGAGCAACTGTAGTGGGACAGTGATGCTGCTAGATAAATCGCCCCCTTCAAGTCTAAGGCCACGTCCACACGGAGACACGTTTAGCTGTATACGTAAAAATGTAGTATCGTATCAGCGCTTCGAGAGCCTGAAACCGCTATTCTTTTTAAACCGGGTCCCAGAGTGGATAAATCTGAAAACGACACCCTTGTGTTTTCGTGTGTACAGCCAATCCGTATCTGTTGTGAAACGATGATGTCATCACCCCACGTGTTGCCCGTAGTCACACACCGCTACGTCACATGACCGCAACAACGGCGGACTACATGCTTATGCGCATGCTTCAAGTCTTCTTCTCCGTTTTTAGTGCATCTCAGTGGCAGAATTACAGCGCCACATACTGGTCTGGCATATATACTACATCGTTTTGAGTCGGTTTCAGTGGTTTCGTGTGTACGCAGATATTTCTTGAGACAACGCAATGTTTACAGAATTTTTTTTTAGAACGAGGGGAAAAAAAGATCGGATAGGGAAAGCTCTGGCTTCGTGTGGATGTGGCCTAAATCTGGTCAGTCCAATCAAATCACAGTTTTTGTAGATCAAAATGTATGCAGCTTTTTTACATACAAAGATAGTTCTTGCATGGGAAACAGTTTTTTCCCCCCAATCTTCAGAAAGTCTAAATCAGGCCAATGGTTTGGTTTATCGCAGCGAAACTTGGTATATGTCATATCCACCATGCCCTGAAGGTATCGGAGCAGTTTTAGTAACAGCGCCACCTACTGGTCAAGAACCATAACAAATGTCAGAGTATGGCTGAATCCGAAATACGCCCCCTCAACCCTCATTTACGATTCCCTACGTTAGTCCACTAATACCTTTTACTTGAAGGAGTGAATAAAAACGAGTCAGTGAACTCGGAAAGCCGTTGAGCATACATCGGTTGTACAGTTGTTATTGCAGTGCATTGTGGGATTGAATAAGTGCACTCAGTTACGTCCACTATGGTTTCGGACAGCACTACTAATGGCTGTTCCCTTAAATAATGCCCTATTTGAGGGTATAGGGGGTGATTTCAGATTCAGCCTATGTTTATAATAGATTATGTTTGTGTTTTAAAGAACATTTAATAAACCAAATGTGGTCGGAAAACTATAATCAGAGAAAATCCATCATAAACACACATGAGCATCTTTACTATATGCATGAGGCTCATTTTCCATGCAAGTCAATTTAATGTGGTTTTGAAACATTTTGTTTAGATCATAATTTGTAGAGAATTTTTTTTATGACACTTTTGCAAGTAGAAGCACTATTGTCATGCATGGTCATAGCCTCGGTTAATAACAATATTGACACTAGTATTAATGTCACCTTTAAAATGCTTCATCAAAATGAAACTGAGAAAGCGTCAGAACATCAGTGAACGAAGCCTAAATATGAACATGATCATATAAGATCTATTATATGTGAACACTTATGACTGCCAAAGCAGGACTGTATTTCTGCACTGATCAAATACACATTTTATCATCTGGGATGGTTGGAAGTCTAAAGGAAATGTCTGCAATATTTGATCTTATATGTCATGCCGAAGCCACACTACCGAAACACTACCACAGAACATACATGCAACACTTACGCAACACGCATTGAGTAAATGTTACAGCATAGACAAAGAAGAACACAAACTGTCATGAGACTGAAGCTGCTGCAACATTATTCATGTTAATCAAAGCATCGGCTCTCTCGGCTTGGATGACATCTGTATTATTTTTATTTTTTACATTAAAGCATATTTGTCATGCTAAACAAATACAGTATCTGCATATCCCTACTATTGTAATGAGTTTACTGTACTGGCCGTGTGTGTTTCCAACTATGTGACTAAGCCACACATAGCCTGTGTGTTATTAATATTAGCATCTGTCTGAAAATAAGACACTGACACAGAACAATACAGCACTGGAAACACTGGAACAAATGTATCTTCTTGAACTTTTCAAAATATTCACAAAAATCGAACCTTTAATTCAAGTAAAACATTTGGAAGAATAACAATATCACCAAACAAATGTTGCTAACACTTTATTTTGATGGTCCACTTTAGACATGAAGCAACTCCATGTCAACTAGAAGTCATTAGAGTATTATTAGAGTAATATCTGCAAACACTTTATTGTGATGCTCCCCACAGACCATCAGCAGTGTATGAAGTGTGTCAAAGCTCTTGTGGGACACATGCTAATAATACATGTCTTTATGGCAGCGGCTAGCCTACTGAAAAAAGCATATTTTCTTAGCAATATATTCTAAACACTATGTAAAAATACTATTTGCACCTCAGTATTTTCCATATTCATGGTTCTGCATATATTAAATAAGTCATTTTGGTGATCAAAGATGAGTTTTAAGGAATAAAATGATTGATTTCAGGGGGGCTTTAATTTAATGTCCGCTCCATTCATATGGGTGTATTTTATCATCTCTTTATGAAGGTTGTGAAGCATCAGAGTTTCTTGGTAATAGACTGTCAACAGAGGGACAGAAACATCTTAGGTTTCATTTAAAACATCTTCATTTGTGTTCTGAAGACGAAGGAAAGTCTTACGGGTTTGGAACGACATGAGGGGAGGAATTACATTTTTGGGTGAACTAACACTTTAACACCTCCAGTTGATTTAAACTTCGTAATTATTGGCTAAAAGGAGGAAAAGAGCATTTCAGAGACTGAACTATCCAGCATTTGGTGCTGCTGGGGTGTTTGAGGACTGTGTGAATCTGGCCTGTGTGTCTCCTCATATCTACAGCCCAGTGAAACAGGAAGTCATGGCTTGATCAATAAAGTGAACTCAGAAACACTTCCGCTAGATCTGGACTCAATACTCTTTTAGGTTATGGTTTTTGTGAATATTCTGAATAGGTGTTTGTGTACACACTCATGCTCATGTTTGACAGAAAATAAGTCATGGAAATGTTTACTTAGTTGACATTCAAGTTTACTGTTGAACTTTGAAAACACTTTTGGAATAATATGAGGAAGGTCCTCAGAAAACACAGTTCTGCCCCACTTTTTGCTGACACTAGTCTAAATGAATATGAACACACATTTTATTTACAGAAGTGACACAATTTCATTCACTCAGCATATCTGTATAATACTTATACATGCAGTTGCTATGTCCTCGTATTATTAGAGAGACTATATTGTTTATTTACTTGTAATAATTCATTTGTCAAACCATTTTTTGTTTGTGTACTGCGAAAGCTAAAAGGTGATAAAATGGTGAATAACTAAAAAGAAATAGCAACCAGTTACAGCATATCAAATACACATTTTGGTAATGCTTCCTTTTACAGTACAGTACTTAGGTGTACTTACAGTGTACTTACCTAGAAAGTACTGGCTAATATAAGGTAAGTACATGGGTTAGGGGTAGGTTCAGGGTTAGTACCAAGTTATTACCCAGTAATTATAATTACTATAATAAGTAGTACTAGTAAGTACATGGGTCACAGGACTGTAAAAGGAAGCGTTACCCACATTTTCATATTGAGCATAGTGTCAATGTAACCTACAATCTTGGTGATGAAAGGCGTCCTTGTGTGCAGTGGTGTTATGGATGTTTACGTTATGGCCCCTCAAACCCACAGAAGGGCCTTGTATGTGTGTGTGTGTGTGTGTGTGTGTGTGTGTGTGTATCACTTGATTATTCCAGGTTGTCTGTTATTGGGTGGGTGATGCATGATGCTGTGAATCTCTGTGAATGAAGCCGGTGCACGAGGCCTGAATCAATAACACACACACACACGCGCGCGCGCGCGCAACACTAAACACTGTCCAGATGAACCAGAACACTGAACCAGAACCAGCGAGTGTGACCCACTATAGCTGAACCAATCATCAGTTACTCCACATTAAGCGCTTAAACGCACACTGAACACAGGTACAGCAGCGCATAATGAATGAGTGCGAAGGGCCGTTCATTCAGGACGCGTTCTTCTTGCGCTCCAGCTCGCGTTTTTGAACGCGTCCTGTGAAAGCTGCGCGCTGAATCATCATCATCATCATCATCATCATCATCATTACACGCGTCCATTCTCACCTCCGTTAAATGCGTCACTGCATGTGAGGCCAGTGCTGTTAATCCAGGTCCATCGCCGCGGGTTTGTGGAGGAGTCCAACACATCGCATCGCTATATCATCCATCTATAGAGACTGATACATGACGCGTCAGGCGCGCGCATCTATTCTCCAGGCAATGCAGCTGCTCTTAAAGGAGAAGAGCGCGATTTCTGATTGGTCCTTAAATGAGCCACGTCATGAAGTCATCGGTCACCACTGAGTGAAGGTGATTCAGAGCACCATCCTCTTCCTCCTCCTCCTCCTCCATCAGGCCTGAGACTCACTGGGATCACATCACATCATGAGTGGACACACACACACACACACACACACACACACACTGCAGCTGCTGTATGTTCATGGAGACACTGACTGGAACACCATATGCTAACAGGCTACTATACTGTATGCTCTCACTATAATACAGTAATATTAAACAGCAATGGATGTGAGTGGTGTCCAAGTCTTCTTCAAAAAAATGCATGATGTTTCATTAACACAGTTTGGGAGGAGCATGTTCTAATGATATATCCAATCAACTCGTCATCAGCAATTATCACATCTAATCATATCAGCATGAGAGGAACCCTGTATTCACTCTAAAATGGCTGGGTTAAAAACAACCCATCTGGCAACCCAACGCTTGACATAACACATGCTGGGTTAAAGTAACCCAGCGTGATGGATTACACATTTTAACCCAGCAGGTTGGGTTGCGAAATTTAACCCAAATTCTGCTCATTTTGACCTCATTAATGGTTATTTATATTTCCTTGCAGTAAATGCTATTTATATGAAATTTAACCCAGCAGTGGGTTACACACAAAACTACCCAACACTTTGAAAATAACCCAGCAAAATGACCCAACAGGCAGAACCCAGCAGTCTGGGTAAAAAACTGTGTTCATTCATACACAGTTGACTCACCTTCGTTCCTCGTCAGTTTTCAGCATCCCTCCTCGGACAGCACGCCAAATACACACACCATTTACTCTATCTGACTACAGCTGTGTGTGTGAAATGCCATGCCGTTTGACAGTCTCTAAAATGAGTCAAAGTAGAGCTGTTACACTCAAGAAAATGCTGGGTTGTTTCTGTAAACAAATTGTTGGGTTGATTGTGCTGGGTCAAAATGCTGGGTTGTTTGGGGCACTGTAAACACATTATTGGGTTGCTCATGCTGGGTCAAATGAGTTGTAAGGGGGTAATTCACAAATAAACAGCTGGTTGGGTTATTTTGACCCAGCAACCGGTTTATTCTTTGCGGAACTTTCTGGATTCTTCACTTCTGACTCGAGGAGGACTTCACTCGGAGGTCGGAGCAGGCAGTGTTTTATGGTAAGTTAATATGTTTACCAATATTTTTAACAATAATAATTTCACTGTTCAGCATACAGTCTTTGATATGGAAGTGTGAGGGGTATAACGTATTTATTCTGTAAAACATTAGTAACAGCTAGCCGGTTAGATTTCTTTGACAAAATGCCACGTTGTAAACCAGCTATATCAGCAGCCTTAATGAAATATGCAGTTTAAATTGTAATTTCATCACGTAAATATCGTATTTATTGTGGACGTTTAGTAATTAAAAGCGAGGAAAGCGTTTTGAATGAACCCGTGCACGCGCAGTGTGTTTATGTCCCTATAGGGTCATAAAAAAAAAAAGTCTAGTCTGTGTGGAAACTAAAGTCTGCTGGCACATTTAAGAAATTCTCATCAGAGGAAGCGACGGGGGTAAGTTCCAGCACAGTCTGCGTGTTTCTTCTGTAATGTCTATGTCGGAACCAGGATCGTTTTTACCAAAAAAATAAAATAATAATTGTATGACGTCTGACGTGCAATCTTTACAAACGGCGACTGAGGTAATGAGAAATAAATCGATTTCATATTAAGCATGTTCTCGCCCTGAACCCATTACAAGTTGTTAGGACCTAGGCCTACTAAGAATAGTTTAGTAACGTTACTACTAAGACAGTGGTCATGGATCAAGTGTGCGCGATGTTTGAGGCCAATAAATAGTTTTTGCTATTGTCACAACAGCGCCATTTTAAACACCAGGGCAGAAAAGTCAGAAATGCTACTTTAGAAATATGAATTGTTATATACAGCATACTATTTAAATGTTAATGCAACTTTATGTTTTATGCTCATATTGTTTAGGTGCTGGCTTTAAAGGTCCTGCAAACTCTGCTTCCCCCATCCATCTAACGTTACAGGAGAGGAGGAAAGGGCTTCAGACCCACAGAGGCTCAGAGGTCCTTGACATGCAACCTGTAAGTTGCTTTAGTGTTTCTACTTCAATAAGGGTAGACGTTTGATATGCTTGATAACTATGAAATTAATTTAGGTTTAGAATATTTAAAGGTGCAATCTCTGTTTGCAACATAAAATAGCATTTTTTTTAAATAGATTTTTGTTAATTTTTAAAGCTGCAGTCCATAACTTTTTTTGTGTTCAAAATTTACAAAATGTTTATAATGAGCGAGTACATCATGAATCCATTGTCCAAATCGTGTTTTTGTCTTATCCTGAATCCCATTAGACTGCTAAATGTCTATTTAGATGTGTAAATATACATTTTGTTTGTTTTTCACATTTGGCCATATTTGGTAATGTTTGAGGAAAACTCTGTGATAATTAGTCGCATTGTAAATGTTTGTAGCTATTCTTAATAAATCAATAAAATCGTATAAGAGTTCAAATTAGTTGCTTATTGACTTTTAAAGGTGCATTGTGTAATACTGTATTTAGGAGGATCTGTTAACAGAAATACAATATCATATACATAACTATGTTTTCAGTGGTGTATAAAGACCTTACTTAATGAACTGTTATGTTATTTTTTTATCTTAGAATGAGTATACATTGTATAATTGTAATAATTGTTTACAAAAAACATTAAAGAGATGTATTAAAAATGTAAAAAAAATAAAATAAATGATTGAAATCACATATACAGTGGCCTCTCTGGTTTATTGTATTACAGAGACAATCATTATTTTACATTAGTAATATAAAAAAATATTTGTTACTAATTTTAATAAGGCAATGATACAGGAAATAACCCAGCACATGAGTAAGACTTAACCCAGCGAGATGGTCAATTTCACCCACTGGTTGGGTCAAATGAATGACCCAACCATATGGGTTAAATGGAAAAACCCAGCACTTGGGTCAAACCAACCCAGCGCGTGTTCTGTCCTATAGTGACCCAGCGGCGTGGTTAAGGTTGGGTTATTTTTTAACCCTGCATTTTTTAGAGTGTAAAATCACACTGGACATTACGTCCAATACGTTAGACTGGAGATGCACTGATGCAGTTTGCTTTGTCATACACTGAAACTTCACATATGTGCACACCATACACACTTTATACTGCAGAAACAGTGTCCACCCATCGAGGTGCAGCAGCACGTCACAGTTCGGGACGCTCACTTCTGAAGCTTTCAGCTTCTTGTTCTCATTTACACAGTCGCTGGAGAATCTCAGTGACCCTAAAGGCTGGAAAACACCTGTAACGTTACTCTATGAGCGTCAACACGAACAGAGGACGAGTGAGTGAGACCCACAAACACATTTTTGGCTATTTTAAGGCATAAAGAATATTTTTCAAGGAAAAAACGTTTAAATATGTCATTTTGGTGATCAGAGATGAGTTATAAGGGATACAATTATTGACTACAGGGGGACTTTAAGAATTCGTCTTAATGAAATGCTTTAAGGGTGTTTCCCATATAGTACATTTGAAATGAATCAAACCCAGATCAGTTGATTAAACCAGAAAGGAAACCCGCTGCAAGTGTCGATCAAACCACAGAAGGACCCCGAACAAACTCTGAGATCGCACACGCATGCTATATCGGCCCAAGAGCACACACACAGATATTATATTACAGTCTGCCTTGAATCTCAGTGTGAAGCGCTGAGCCGCAAAGGACTGTGGGAGGAGAGAGAATCCACACGTTCATAAAGACACACGTGCTTTTCTCATCATACGACACAGATTCATGGGAAAGTGCTCGGTGTCTCAAACACTCGTCGTACTCTGTGTGTCGACTGAAGACGAATGAAGCCAGAGTCTAGCTGTTACTCATTCTCATGGCACATGTGCTGTTTCATTCACTGAACCAGACAAGAATAGAGAAGAATAGAGCGTCTGAGAGGTTCATCATCACACGTGTTGGTTTAAACACGCAGAATCAAAGCTATGATCATAAATCTGTGGTTGTGATGAGCTCAGCATTATTCACTGGAGTTTGTTCTCATTAACATCATGTTCTTCAGACATATTCTTCTAAGTAGCCTGCATGAAGACAGCATGGCATTATCATCTGATCCCGCGGTACCACCTCAGTCTTATGGTTTTGCTGTTAATACTTCAGAAGAAACAAAACTGCTCAGATTCAACACTCCTGTGTCTGCAGTCAGACTGATCATCTACAGCTGCAGTGAAGAGCAGAGTCTATCGGACACACTGATTGGCACTGTGGATTGGCTTTGTTATTGTAAGAGGTTAGCGACCTCTAGCAGCGAAAAAAATATATGACATATTGTAGCTTTAAATAGTATAGGCTTATGTTGAACTTTATTCTTGTACAAACAAGAATTACTAGTGGAATGCCCGTGCAAAATGAGTTTTTATGTGTTTTTAGTAATTGTTGGTTTGGTATGTTTGAGTTGATTAATAGCCTAGGCTACTATTACACAGGAGCCTAAACTCTGAGAAAACGATAACGTTAAGCGCACCAGAATAAAATATAATATTCAGAATTAAACAGTGTGGCTGACTTACAGATTCAGTTAAATCGCTACTTTTTCAGAAATGAATCGCTACTTTTTCAAAATTGAATCGCTACTTTTTCAAAGGTGAATCGCTACTTTTTCGAAAGTACTGAATCACTACTTTTTCCAAAAAATGAATCAATACTTTTTTTCAAAAAAGAATCTATACTTTTTCAAAAGTAAATCGCTACTTTTTCAAAAATGAATCGCTACTTTTTCAAAAGTGAATAACTACTTTTTCAAAAGTGAATCGCTACTTTTTCAAAGTGAATCGATACTTTTTCAAAAAATGAATCGCTACTTTTTCAAAAGTAAATCGCTACTTTTTCAAAAATGAATTGCTACTTT